ATCCATATCCTCAGCAGATGTCTCTCCATCAACATCTTTGTCATCAGGATTGGAAGACCCATGTTCCAACGTCTCAAACACATACTGTGCACCACCTTCACCTTGTTCACCGTGTTTACCACAACCACGGTCAGGAGGACATTCTTGGATCGTTGGAGTCACACAAAGTTTTGTGTCATAAGTTTCAGTCTTGACATCACCCAATTTGCCGGATTGCGTTTTGGGCATACTTCTCCCTTTCCGGCTGTCTGCAGGATGTTTGTCGCCAGACGCAGGACCCTGACTGTCTTCATCTCCTTGTTTCCTTACCATGCTCGTGTCGTCTGCTGGCTGACACATATTCAGGCTTCTCAGAAGCCCCAGGAAGGAGTTACAAGGGTTTATCACTGGTGTCATACGAAAAAACTGTCCTAGCTGCAGAATTTGGTGGACAGATTGCTCATTGATAAATAAGTTTCCCTCATACAAGTACGAGAGGAAGTTTGTGAGGGCATCGTCACTGACTGGGAACGGCACTGTGATGGTCAGCATGGGGGCATGTCTAGTGACTTGGCAGGTGGACAGGCAGAACGGCCGCGCGATGTTGAACACCAGCTGGTGAACCTGAAAGAGGTGAACACAAAACATGTCACCATGGATACATAATATGCTGCAGATATCAGGCATCAGACAAACATGCTGCATTTAATGCAGAGCTTAGCTACCTATGACTGAGTCACTGTCAAAGATAGCACATCACTGTGAACAACACTCACTATGTTGCCCACTGTCAAGATAGCACATCACTGTGAACAACACTCATGTTGCCCACTGTCAAGATAGCACATCACTGTGAACAACACTCATGTTGCCCACTGTCAAGATAGCACATCACTGTGAACAACACTCATGTTGCCCACTGTCAAGATAGCACATCACTGTGAACAACACTCATGTTGCCCACTGTCAAGATAGCACATCACTGTGAACAACACTCCCACTGTCAAGATAGCACATCACTGTGATAGCAACACTGTGAACAACAAACACGTTGCCCACTGTCAAGATAGCACATCAGTGTGAACAACACTCATGTTGCCCACTGTCAAGATAGCACATCACTGTGAACAACACTCATGTTGCCCACTGTCAAGATAGCACATCACTGTGAACAACACACATCACTGTTGCCCACTGTCAAGATAGCACATCACTGTGAACAACACTCATGTTGCCCACTGTCAAGATAGCACATCACTGTGAACAACACTCATGTTGCCCACTGTCAAGATAGCACATCACTGTGAACAACACTCATGTTGCCCACTGTCAAGATAGCACATCACTGTGAACAACACTCAAGATAGCACATCACTGTTGCCCACACTGTCAAGATAGCACATCACTGTGAACAACACATCACTCATGTTGCCCACTGTCAAGATAGCACATCACTGTGAACAACACTCACACTGTCAAGATAGCACACATGTTGCCCACTGTCAAGCCCACTAGCACATCACTGTGAACAACACATCACTGTGAACAACACGTTGCCCACTGTCAAGATAGCACATCACTGTGAACAACACTCATGTTGCCCACTGTCAAGATAGCACATCATCACTGTGAACAACACTCATGTTGCCCACTGTCAAGATAGCACATCACTGTGAACAACACTCATGTTGCCCACTGTCAAGATAGCACATCAGTGTGAACAACACTCATGTTGCCCACTGTCAAGACAGCACATCACTGTGAACAACACTCACTAAACACGTTGCCCACTGTCAAGATAGCACATCAGTGTGAACAACACTCATGTTGCCCACTGTCAAGATAGCACATCACTGTGAACAACACTCACTCAAACAACACTCATGTTGCCCACTGTCAAGATAGCACATCACTGTGAACAACACTCACTGTTGCCCACTGTCAAGATAGCACATCACTGTGAACAACACTCATGTTGCCCACTGTCAAGATAGCACATCAGTGTGAACAACACTCACTAAACACGTTGCCCACTGTCAAGATAGCACATCAGTGTGAACAACACTCATGTTGCCCACTGTCAAGATAGCACATCAGTGTGAACAACACTCATGTTGCCCACTGTCAAGATAGCACATCAGTGTGAACAACACTCACTTAACATGTTGCCCACTGTCAAGATAGTGGGGCGGTGGGGTAGCCTAGTGGTTAAAGCGTTGGCTCGTCATGCCGAAGACCCGGGTTCGAATCCCCACATGGGTACAATGTGTGAAGCCCATTTCTGGTGTCCCCCGCCGTGATGTTGCTGGAATATTGCTAAAAGCAGCGTAAAACCAAACTCAGTCAGTCAGTCAGTCAAGACAGCACATCACTGTGAACAACACTCACTGGAGCATGATGCCTGATGACAGAGCAATTAACACTATTAGCAACAACACCATGCCCGTTGACAATAAGACACGGAGATGTTGACAATGAGTCACAGATGTTGGCAATGAGACACAGAGATGTTGACAATGAGACACAGAGATGTTGACAGTGAGACACAGAAATGTTGGCAATGAGACACAGAGATGTTGACAGTGAGACACAGAGATGTTGACAGTGAGACACAGAGATGTTGACAGTACTCACCAGAACATGATGGCTATTGACAATGAGACACAGAGATGTTGACAGTGAGACACAGAGATGTTGACAGTGAGACACATAGATGTTGACAGTGAGACACAGAGACATTGACAGTGAGACACAGATGTTGACAATGAGTCACAGAGATGTTGACAATGAGACACAGAGATGTTGACAGTGAGACAGAGATGTTGACAATGAGTCACAGAGATGTTGACAATGAGACACAGAGATGTTGACAGTGAGACACAGAGATGTTGACAATGAGACACAGAGATGTTGACAGTGAGACACAGAGATGTTGACAATGAGACAGAGATGTTGACAGTGAGACAGAGATGTTGACAATGAGACACAGAGATGTTGACAATGAGACACAGAGATGTTGACAGTGAGACACAGAGATGTTGACAATGAGACAGATATGTTGGTGGCACTCACCAGAAACATGATGTTCATTGACAATGAGACACAGAGACGTGACAGCACTCACCAGAACACAGATGGCCGTTGACAATGAGATACAGAGACGTGACAGCACTCACCAGAACACGATGGCCGTTGACAATGAGATACAGAGACGTGACAGCACTCACCAGAACACGATGGCCGTTGACAATGAGACACAGGTCACAAAACTGTCTGGTCCTCCAGAAGTGGGACACTTGAGCAAGGAAGTGTTCCTGAAATCCAGGCTTCTCAACTTTCTTCTGGATTTGTCTGAAACACATGGTCAGCTGAGGGTGAACCAAAACTTTGGTGACTTCATGAGCATGGGTACTCTGCTGACAAACCTGGAGACACAAAGGAAAACCAGGATTCAGCTCTCACAGGATCCTGGCACACCTAAGGGATGAGACTCTGGACAACTATGTCAGCCAAGTCAATTCTGGGCAGTGAAACATGAGAACAAATGTACATGTAGAACTATAGAAACAGTATCCACTGATAAAATGCCATCCACTGATATAAATGGTATCTACTAATATAAACAACATCCACTGATATAAATGGTATCTACCGTTATAAACATCCACTGATATAAATGGTATCTACTGATATAAACAACATCCACTGATATAAATGGTATCTACTGATATAAACATCCACTGATATAAATGGTACTGATATAAATATAAATGGTATCTACTGATATAAACATCCACTGATATAAATGTTATCTACTGATATAAACAACATCCACTGATATAAATGGTATCTACTGATATAAACATCCACTGATATAAATGGTATGTACTTACATAAACATCCACTGATATAAATGGTATCTACTGATATAAACATCCACTGATATAAATGGTATCTACTGATATAAACATCCACTGATATAAATGGTATCTACTGATATAAACATCCACTGATATAAATGGTATGTACTTACATAAACATCCACTGATATAAATGGTATCTACTGATATAAACATGCACTGATATAAATGGTATCTACTGATATAAACATCCACTGATATAAATGGTATGTACTTACATAAACATCCACTGATATAAATGGTATCTACTGATATAAACATCCACTGATATAAATGTTATCTACTGATATAAACATCCACTGATATAAATGGTATCTACTGATATAAACATGCACTGATATAAATGGTATGTACTTATAGAAACAGTATTCACTGACAAAAATGGTATCCATTGAGGTAATTTACTAATGAGTATGAAACCACAAAAGATCTGTACTACTTTCACTGTTTACCAACAAATACAGCATTGAGTCCCTTCAGTCAGACTACCGAGTCGGGGTCCCTAACAAATTATTGGGACAATTGTTAAATTGTTATCAATAAGAAAACACAGTCTAAATGATGCTCAAAATCAGTGTTTAAAAGAGCATAGGTGAGACATAGGTGAGACATAGGTGAGCCAGGTGAGCCAAAGGTGAGACATAGGTGAGACAAAGGTGAGACATAGGTGAGACCTTTTATAAGTGTAGGCTACTTTGGAGATTTACCATTTTGACAACAGAAAACAAACTTGACACTAAGTGATAAATAGGTTGTCACACAATGCTTTAAATACATATATTAACTGCTGATTCGTAAAACAGGATATTTTCCATGTATAAACACTCTCATGATAACCACTATTTATCTGATGTTCACCTGTCCTAGAAACGTAAATGTTGTTTAATGATGTGTTCAAGAATATTCCACCCATATCATGTTGCAGATATACAAACAAACAAACAAAACCTGTCAACTTCAAGTAATACCAACACCGTCTGAACGCTTGTCTCTTCATCCAAGGATTCACCACCTGTCAGGACCATGCAGTGTTTAGGTGTGCTGCGTTTCCTTTGCGGTGACCTGGAGGCTGAACTGCTCTTGTTCTTGCTATCTCGACTATCGGGGGGCTTCTTTTTCGGTGATGTGCTTTCTGAAACAAAACTGCATCAGTGAATTATATTGTTTATGGAATATACAATACTTCAAAATGTCAGCTGATTCAAATACAATATGGAAGCACAAGAGTATTACAATAAATACATAACATCACATCATGAGGGGTGGAGAGCTAGGAAACGAAACATGCTTTATGTTAGAACATTGGGCAAATAGACAGCTGCAGTAGAAGTCACTGTTTATCGCTTTGTAGAGCAGTTTTACAGACACTTACTATTGATGCGGATATCAGTGGTAATCGTACATCGACGATGTGACTGACGTGGTGCACTTTTCATTATCTGGCCATGAAGCCATACTGAAAATGAGGTGGTGGGGTAGTCTAGTGGCTAAAACGTTCGCTCATCGTGCCAAAGGCCCGGGTTCGATTCCTCACATGGGTACAATGTGTGAAGTTGATTTTTGGTGTCAACCGCTGGGATATTGCTTGAACATAGCTAAAAGCCGCATAAAACTCACTCACTCACTCAATATTGAAAATGTGAGTTTTGGGCAAAAGGTGTCCCATATCTGCATACATCTCTATTTTATACAGACAAATGAAGCAAGTATGTGGTTTACAGAATAACATATTTTGAGGAGTGGGGGAGGTAAATTTTGATTGTATATCCAGTTTGTACAGTTGACGTTCACAAACTACTGTTTTTCTCAAATCAGACCCATAGTGACCCATTAATGGCTATCAACTGTCCGTGTTATTATTTTCAAAATATACTGGAGTATGGAGTAGGTGCAGTTTGTAGTGCAAGTGTTTCCGTTCTCAGGTAATACCGAACACTGACAGGTGAAATATGACTTTAGACTGGTAGGTGTGAGGACTGATGTTCCCTGTATCTGGCAAACACTTCCTGTTAAAGTAAATATCATATCCTAATGTTGAGAGGCAGATCATCTCCTATCTTTATCCTGAGATACATCATAAGTTTCGCACACGCTGATGTAAAGTAGCATTCTTTTCTGAATGCCTGTTAAAATGCTGGGTCAGAAGAAGTCCTTGTTATCTGCATATTTCGTGTATGTCCAGCATACTAACAGCAGGTAGAGGAAAGTACAATATATCACATGGAAAGACCTCTCCTGTAACCACCAGTAGTATGAGATGTTGAAACAATTTGAATGTTACACTGAGTCAGTCAAAACTTTTTGAGATGTAAAATGGAAACTCTAAATCAACAAGGTATAATATATAATATTTTTGTTATAGTTTTTAGTGCAGAGTATTAAGTCTATAATTAGCACTCATCATCGGGACCAGTTAATGCTTGTTTCCTACCAGCCCATATACACATTAACCATGTAGCCCGATATATTGTAGTACTGACACTGTGTGTAAACCACCCCGACTGTGTCAGGGAGAGCTAATGTTGTTCTATGTCGGTCACATGACAGACAATCCATCCCCATCAATAGTTGGTTGTGACAAGTACTGGGATTGTGGATTGCAACATTCGAAATTAAACTTAATTTCTATGTCCGAGGATGTAATTTACAAAACAAACTCATCAAGTGATATCTGTCGACACTGCAGTTACAAGAACAAAGTATTGGGATGCTCACATACATTGCTGATTAGCTTTGCTCTGAATATTTCATCAATATTGATAACTCTCTGCTGGACAAAAAATGAAAAGTATATTTGAACACAGTGACATCACTCAGAGACCATATCGGTATATCATGTATATGGTCTCTGCATCACTCTACGAGATGTCGGCTCATGGTGTTCAGTGTACTGCACTAAGGACCAAGAAAATCACACCTTTAAGTTTATTAACAATGGTTATTTGGCTGATGTGGTAGATTAATGCCAAATGTTGGCAAAAATAAAAATAAACATATCTTGGAGTTTAGTAGTTTCGTGCGTCAATAATTATCATTAAACAAATAATATAGTATTGTTATGTTAAATGTGACAATACAGTGACAATAGCCTGCCATAAGACAATATGGGCGCGAACACCTTGCCGAGCAGACGACGCATCATTCAACCAAAACACGCGGAGCTGATAGGCGTGTCCACAACAACACACAAACTGCCGTCTTGCGAAAGACCATCGCAGTTTTCTCGTACACGTGGGCGTTTCTGCCGGGTCGGGTACACCAATAAAGAAGAAGTAACTGTACTCAGTACACCAAAATACAACTACACGTTCCATGTGCTCTTCCACCTACCCTTGTCGACACTCGCGAGGTTGAAAATGGACGGCACAGACTCAAGTGTCCGTATCCCATTTTCAAAATGGAGGCTGCAGACTCGCGAGCTGTGTGTAATTTTCCCACCGGGGGTGCCGCTCTTGGAAACGTTCGAAACCCATTTTCGGGCGAGTTTTGGGTTCTTCCACGGGAACCGGTGCAAGGAAGGGCGTTCTCCGATCGTTCCTGAATTGGGTTTGAAGGAACAGTTTTCTACAATACACTGGGACGCCATTGCATCTCTAACAGGGCGTACACAAAGTCCAACAGCTGATTGGTAGAATTTGAAAGGGGAACAACTCATGACGAGAATGTGTCATTAAATATTATTTGGACTTCAAAACAGTTGTTATTTTCACTTGAGTAAGTGAGTTCCATTTTATCATGTCATCGGCTTTGTTGCAGAAAAAACAACATGTATTGATCATAGATCAAGTCTCTTTAATTACGACCTGGACACATTAGACACTGTGCGCACTAATTTCCGTATGTTCAATGTCGAAGAGATTATTTAAAATTGTTTATGAACGATGTATGAATAGATATGTGTATCCGCTAAATAGAGTTAATTACAGGCACATTTCTGACTGTCTGCCCTGAAAATGAAACAACACAAACAAACTGAAAACTAAACTTGAAAATTTGATAGTATAATATGTATTCCATCATATTTGTTTTGGTAAATCTAATTATTTTTTAAATATAATTAGCTAATTTACAGATTGTTTTTACATTGCATTTCTGACTGAACAGAATATGTTCCCGTTTCAATTTTGTTTTTCGTCGGGATGGCCTAAAAGTCGGGCCGGGCCGGGCCAAGGCGGGCCAAATCTATTATTGGCTAATAAACCCATTAACAAAAACCAAGCCTACAATTAGTCAATGCAACATACACTCATGATAATAATGACCAATCGGAAGCCACAAACGCGTACCATAATAACTTTATTACGAGTAAATCGGCTAAAACCCAGGAAGACGAGAAGCCTGTGAACTGGCTGACCGAGGTTACGTATAAAAGTGGAATCGTTAAACGAAACGGGATTTAATACGTATAAATACTTCAGCCAATTCCGATACACATTTCCGTCGGCCCGAAAATGATTTTACATCTATATCCAATCACATGCCACCCCATAAATTCACTATTCATCGTATTTAAAGCATGCCCACATTTAAATGATACTATCTCTTCCCCACACTCTCAACATTATCTCGGCAACAATAGACCGGTATGATATCTACCTAAATATCGCTTTGTAATGTTATAAAATGCCACATGTAAAGAAAACTGCTCCGTTAAAGTGAAGCCCTTGTCTCACATTTTTCAACATAGCCTCAATCAAAAGTATTTGGTCTCTGTTCAGCCCGACTTGGCCCGTGATGTCAAAAAACAACTTAAACCTCACACATGTATCCTGATTTGTGTTTATATCCATAGATTAGTATTATATCTACCTACATATCACTTCACAGAGTCTAGAAGCGTAGTATTTGAAGCAAGCACTTTGCTCAAAGTGAAACCCTATTTTCTGTACATTCTCAACAAAGACACAGTATCAAAAGCTTTCGGTCCGGCTTGGCCCGGGCGCTCAAACGCACCTTATACCTCACAGATGTATCTTGAAATGTGTTTAAATCCATAGATTGGTATTATATCTACCTAAATATCACTTTGTAATGTTATCAAATGCTACATGTAAAGATAACTGGTTCGTTAAAGTTAGCCCTTTTCTCTCTCCATTCTCAACATAGCCTCAATCAAAAGTTTAGTCTCTGTTCAGCCCGACTTGGCCCGTGCTGTCAAAAACACCTTAAACCTCACACATGTATCTTGAAATGTGTTTATATCCATAGATTAGTATTATATCTTCCTACATATCACTTCACAGAGTCTCAAAGCGTAGTATTTGAAATAAAAACGTTGCTGAAAATGAAGCTCTCTTTTCTACATATTCTCAACAAACAGTATCACAAGCGTTCGGTACGCCTTGGCCCTGGCTCTCAAAAACAACTTAAACCCCACACATGTATTCTGATTTGTGTTTACATCCATAGATTAATATTATATCTACCTACATTTCACTTCACAGAGTCTAGAAGCGTAGTATTTGAAGCAAACACCTTGCTCAAAGTGAAGCCCTATTTCTATACATTCTCAACAAAGACACAGTATCAAAAGCTTTCAGTCCGGCTTGACCCGGGCGCTCAAATGCACCTTATACCTCACAGATGTATCTTGAAATGTGTTTGAATCCATAGATTGGTATTATATCTCCCTAAATATCAATGTGTGATGTTACAAAATGCCACATGTAAAGATAACTGCTCCGTTAAAGTGAAGCCCTTTTCTCTCTCCATTCACAATATAGTCTCAATCAAAAGTGTTTAGTCTCTGTTAAGCCCGACTTGGCCCGTGATGTCAAAAACAACTTAAACCTCACACATGTATCTTGAAATGTGTTTATATCCATAGATTAGTATTATATCTACCTATATTTCACTTCACAGAGTCTCAAAGCGTAGTATTTGAAGCAAACGCCTTGCTCAAAGTGAAGCCCTATTTTTGTATACATTCTCAACAAAGACACAATATCACAAGCTTTATATCTACCTAAAAACGTCTTTATAGAGTCTCAAATCGTTGTATTTGAAGCAAACACGTTGCTTAAAGTGAAGTCCTATTTTCTATACATACTCAACAAAGACACAGTATCAAAAGCTTTCGATCCAGCTTGGCCTGGGCGCTCAATCGCACCTTATACCTTACAGATGTATCTTGAAATGTGTTAAAATCCATAGATTGGTATTATATCTACCTAAATATCACCTTGTAATGTTATCAAATGCAACATGTAAAGATCAGATGATTTGAAAATAGGCTGCTACTGCCCAGCTCGGCCAGGTAGGCGAGACACTGTGGATTTAATGAAAACATACTTGTGTGTTCAGGAAAACAGGATTATCAGAAGAAGAAGAAGAAGAAGAAGAAGAAGAAGAAGAAGAAGAAGAAGATATTTATATTTGTGTGTCACATGTTATATATAAAACATACATAAACTTTAAAACATTCAATAAAATATAACATCCGGCCATATGGCCTATGAGACACAAGGCACTATATTATATCTAAAACAGTATAGTAGTAAATAAAATATCACAGCTTTGTAAGCAACATTGTGGTATATATATTTAATTACATGACTACAAACTGCGTTTACAAATGGTTACCATTAAGAAAGAGTGTTATAATTTGTGTTTAACATGTTGTACCATAAGACTCTTAATATAACATCTGGCCTGTGAGACACAAGCCACTACATTCTACCTAAAACAGAATAGAATCTCACAATTCTCTAAGCAACAGTGGAGTGTGGTATATTTAATTACATGACTACAAAGTGCGTTTACGTCTATTAAACATTTTAGTAACTAATGCAGCTAAGGGTTTTATTAATTTAACATTACCTAGCATATATTTGGCCTGCTCGGAAGGTGGCAAGAGAGAAAAAAAAGGGTTAATATTTAGTACATTTTCCCACAAATCATATCGTAAATCCGAATATAGTGGGCAGCTGACCAAAAAGTGAACTTCGTCCTCAATCGTATTGCCATCACAGCATTTACAAATCCTATCGTCTAAAGGTGTTTTAGGGCGTGTAAATCTACCGACCTCTATTTCAAGGGGTAAGGTGCCACATCGTAACTTGCTAAGTGTACTGCGATGAGATCTAGGCAGAAGTTCAGTGACATATGGTTCAGCTGGTAATAGTTTCTTAAACTTTCTGTAAGTACGGAGTTTTTTCCCGTTAGGTTTCCCTCGGTCGTTCCACAGTTCTTTATTCCAGTCCTGACAATCTAATGATCGTATCCACAGTGAGGCGTAATAAATTCCATTTTAGACATATTATATAGGTCAACCACGGGGAGATCCAATTTGTTAAGAATATTTACAACAATTTTATTCCAGGATTTTGGAAAAGTATTAGACCATCTGCATACAGCACTAGGTATTCTCGGCTGCTCAGTAGAACACAGCTTACTCCAGAACCGCACAATTTCAATTTTTTGTTTAGAAAATGGAGTTGTCCAACCCATCTCTCCCCGGACCGCTAGATTTGGAGTCTTACTGCCAACGCCCAGGAAGAATCTACCGCCCTTGTTTTGTACTGCATTTATACAATTGAATTGTTTTGTGCCCCATATGGCTGACCCATAGGATAAGATCGGCTGGACAAGGTTATTGTATAAAGTATTAAAGACATTATAAGCCAAACCACCACAAGATCTGAATTTACACATGATAACACCAAGTACTCGACTAGCAGATTTAGCGATTTCTTTAGCTGTAAAGTTCATATCAATGTTTTCCTGCAACCAAACGCCCAGATATTTATACGCACTGGTATAGTCAATAGTAACATCACCAATTTTGAATACAACTTGTGATCTATTGAAACAACAGGGTCGGTAATGAACGACATTAGTTTTCTTATTATTAATAGTTAAACGCCAACGTTTACACCAATTATCAACGCAATCGTCTCCTGCTATCAAAGCAATATCATCAGCGTACAGTAGTGTACTCAACATAACTCCGTCAATGTTTACACCACAATTGAGAGCGTTGATTTCTTCTGCTAGGTCATTAATGTAAATAGAAAACAAAGTCGGTGACATTACACAACCCTGCCTAACACCGGAATTTACATTAAATAAATCAGTGAAACAGTTGTTTATACGTACACGGGCGTTAGAGTTATTGTACATAGATTGAACAGCATAAAGGAATTTCCCTTTGATTCCAAGTTTTAACAGTTTAAACCATAGACAATTTCTATCTACCTTATCAAACGCTTTCATTGCATCGATGAAGCACACAAAAGTAGGTTTCCCAGTTAGCTTTCTGTTATTGATTACTGAATATAGACTGTAAATATGTTCTTGAGTACTACGCTTGGATCGGAAGCCATTTTGTTCCTCAACCAATATATCATGTAATTCTAACCACTTTGTAAGTCTAGTATTAAGGATATCTGAGTATATTTTACATGGGACTGAAAGCAGTGAAATACCGCGATAACCCAATGGATCACGTGGGTCACCCTCGGGCTTCTTGATAGGATTTATTAAACTAGTACGCCAAATATCCGGGCACTTATTGTTTTCAAAACAAAATGTAAACAGTCTAAATAAAAGATCAATACATGTTTTACTTCTTAGAGCTTCAGCAGGTATACAGTCTGGACC